ATTAAATAAAACTACTGTTTGATTAGAGTTAGCCTTTTGGAGGCGAAGCTAAGTGAAATTAAGTGACATCAAACCACCATAAGCGACCTAATGAGTAAGCTCTTATACAGACGATATCTCAAGTTATGAAATATGTGTAGAGCATAAGATAAATATGTTTGACTAAAGATAATAGTCGACAAATTTTGGTTAATCGATATGAAGAAAGAAGTTATAGAGCATAACGAAGCCAAAGGAGCAATTACAGTATTTAAAAATTTAAATAATAGAAGGCTTAGATATAAAATAATTTCTCTACTATGATCAACATCTTGGTCTTCATACCTACTAGCTAATTTCATTAACTTTAACGAAAAACCAGGCTCAATTCAGCATGAAAGCATTGGTCATATTGGCAGGAAGACCTTGAGGAACACATCTTGTCCCGAGTCCATAGTGAGCATAATGATTTCCAGAATCGGACCATGTACGTGGTACATTCCCAGAAGTTTCGCCGCGAGCATAAATGAGTCTTGCCAATCCTAGCACCACACTACAACTCGTCAGCTACAAGTGAAGCCGATCATTTGACCAATTATCCGCTAAACAATTGTGGTATTTCTTCGTGCCCTGGGCTATATATCCTTGCAGAACCCCTTCACTACCTCAAGACTTTGATGGCACGCATACTATAGCTTCGCTGAATAGGCCCCTAGAAACAAGGTTGCTCAGACTGGATAGGAGACTAACTTGAAGATAAAGAGCCAGAGTAATCCTCATGATCAAGCCTTCGCTTCATGGACCTCGTCTATGATCAAACACGACTATTTTTATCCAACTATCTCTAGTCTCCGCCACATCTGTCATGCTTATATCAACTGTGTCAAGTCTATGACTTACTATGCCCTAGTCTCTTTTATGCAAACCTAGAAATATTGTGGTTCCACGTGTTTTGATTAGGTTCAATGTAGAACCTTCCACTATTAACAAGTTGCGAAAAAAAGGTAGAAAACCTCTATACAACGAAAAGAGACTGCGACCATACAGACGGCCACACCACCCTGGTCTTCATACCTTAAGCAAAGTCAGGCAAAAAAATGCCTACATAAAGGATGACTAATATTACCAGGTCCCAAATGTACTTTCAACTACCAGAGACAAAAATTAGATAGCTCAACGAGACTTAATGCGCCTAGCATCATTTAAATTGTTAGCGCCTACGCAATAGTTATGAGATTCATAAAATTCAAGTGGTTTCCTTCATATGAGATAAAATAATAAGTATTTAGATGTAGAAAAAAATCTATTCAAAGTAAACAATATTATTTCAAGAAGGTAAACTATTTTAGGAATAGGATGGCAAATAAAATGTGCCAAAATCCGAGAATTCAAGCATAATTATGTACAATTTTAAGATAAAAAATGATTAAGAAATATGTATCTATAAATAAGCTAGTTATTGCTATGGACTAGATATGAATATCAAGGTTGAGGCTAAGATAAGAATTGTAAATAAATTTGGAGGCGAGCGAGCGGTACAGTTGAAGATAGTTGTAGCATATATATAGATAATGTGTAATTAACCTTGTGAATAAATTCATCATACGTGACACGGCCGTCTCTGTCATAATCGGCACGATTGACGAATCTTTGAACCCTTTGGCCAGGAAGCTCCGAATCGCTTAGAAGTCGAGTAAGCTCTTCCATAGGCATACCGCCATGGGACTCATACTATCTTAATTGAGAAAAAAATATTTATCTTACACCAATAAAGTGCGGTCTGAGCTTCTAAAGATAAAAAAAGATGACGAAATTTAGAAATATAAACCTCATCAAGGGCGTCGCGAAGTTCACGCGCATCCCGAGAAGTCATTTCGTATTTGTGCGTAGTTCGGATTCATACTATGTTTATGTACTTATATTTAAATTAAAATGTGTAGCAAAAATTAATATATATTCAGCTTTTATTCAAAATTAACAAATTTTAGAGTATTGTTTTAGTTATATAACACGCTATGCCTCCTACTCCTTCAAATCCTCTTTCTCTCTACAAGTATCTTTTGCGCAGCATTCGCCTTCTTCCTCCTAACGTCCAGGGTTATTATAAGTTTCAAATTAGACAGGTTTGCGGTGCTCATGTCTTATCCCTACTTTCAAGCATTACAATAGCCACTCCGACGAGTCCGATCCTATCAGAATCTCTCAAATAATTGATCAGGCCCTTTCCGACATCGATTGGCTCGTTAGGAAAGTAATTTTATATACGCATTCGCATTTAATCTCTAGTACTCAGTAGTTGAAATATGATAACCGGTTTATTGCGTGCCAACCTACGCCTGGCTCCTGGCTAATTTCTTTATACGCT